TCTCTCTGTGCTCTGTCTCCTCTCTCCTCTATTCTTTCTCTCTTCACCTTTTCTTTCTGCAGTTTTTCTGTGCCCTTTTGTCTCTGTACTCTTTCTTGATCTCTCTCTCCCTTTCTCTGCCTTTCCATCTCTGTACTCTCTCTCTCTGTGTTTTCCCTCTGTTCTCTCTGTCTTCCCTTCTGTACTCTGTCTTTTTCCTTCTGTACTCTCTCTCTCTTTTTCCCTATCTTTTTCTTTCTGTGCTCTCTCTCTCTGTCTTTTTCTCTGTACATTCTCTGTCTCTTTTTTCCTTCTGTATCTTCTCTCTTTATCCCTCTCTCTCTCTGTCTGTCTTTTTTTCTCTCTGTACACTCTCTCTCTGTATCTTTTTCCCTCAGTACTCTCTCTCTCTGTCTTTTTCTCTCTGTACTCTCCCCCCTCTCTCTGTCCTCTTTCTCTCTCCACTCTGTTTCAGTCTCTCACGTAACCATATGTCTTATATGCAAGGTCAGATAGGAATCAGAGATGGCTGTTCTCTCACACACACACATGCACTGAGATTATTAGAGCCCTTTTAAAACACTCGCACGCACACATACACACGCGCACATACACACTTGCACACACACATTTCACCTGGACACATATTCCCTAGTTATTCTGAGATTTGCTAAGCTTACTATCACAAGGCACTGAGATCTTAACAATGTCCATAAAAGATAAAAGAATCATATATATTTAATATGGCTATAATATAAATGAATGTAGCTGATGTGTTTAGACTGTTTGCCAGACTTCTGCTCCAAACCAAACAAGCTTTATTTAAAATAAAAGGTAAAATTAATTGGGTCTTAATTTTGGGTGAGCTGCTCTAAGGAGTTTTTATAAGGACCTCTTAGTTAATCACTTATTAATCAACATCACTGTCTTGGCCTCCGCAAATAGTTCATCACAACAGGGTTTCATTTAATGTGTTCCATTTAACGCTGTGCCCACTGCATCCCACTCAGCCACTGCTGCTCATCACAGAGCGCTCTAATGAAGCAGCGGAATTTGCCCTGTGTGTGTGAGTGAATGTGTGTTTGTATGTGCTGGGAGTGGGACCAGTCTGAGACACTCTAAAAATGCTACTGAGTGTTGAGCTTTCTATCAAGTCCCATTTGCTCAGCCTAAAATCATAGGAGTCTCCATGAAGCATCTAGTTTATATGAAGTTGTTTTTCCAAAATATTCCATTGTTTTGCAGTGATGGCAGTGATGGGCCCCAATGTATTGAGGAAAAAATACAGTCTTTGCTGGTATCATTTATTTACATTTATTGACAAACTCCTAATTTAACGCACCTGCTTCATTTAATCAAGCCTTCAGGAGCATCTGAAAGTGCAAATCATGTGGATATGATTAGAGTAGCAGTAAAACCTTGCAGGATAATCACCAGGAGCAAAACAGATTAAGAATCAATTAGTTGTACACAGTGCTGCAGACATTTAGTCAAACCCATTTGTTCTGTGTTCTGTCAATAAACATATTATTGTCCATTTCTCTTAAAAATGATTTATATGTGCAAGGACTGTGTTGCTTCCAAACTTTGGCCTGTAGTGTATATAGTAGTATAAAATGTAATTTGCATGGTAAATTGCATGGTACTTTTCATTTTGTTGCTTCAGCCAACTTTCATACTTAAACTCTGCAGCTAACTGGATTTTTATAGCACTTTTCAGACTGTGTAAAGCCTGCACTTACAGTTGTGATAAAAAAGTTTGTGAACTGTGGAATGATCTGGGTTTGTGTTTGAACGGCTCCTGAAAAGCAATCTGTTTTTCATCTCAGCCATAGTAGTAAGTAGTCCTTTTTTTTACAAACACCATACACAGTGTTTTTACAGTGTCATGTCTTTAGTGACCCAATGAACAATCACAGTCAGGGTCACAGATGAAGGTATTTTAGCCCGTATATTTAGTAAATAGTGGAACCGTTAAAAGCAGTAACCTCAACTAAATGCTTTCTGTATCTTGCACAGCAGTAAGGAAGTGTAATAACACAGTTCTCTGTACATATATAACTCTATACTGTTGTGTATTCTGTAGATAACAGTCAAAACGAGTTGTGCAAATATTTATCCTAATTTATATTTATTTCTCCATTGCTGCAAGCCTACACTATCCAAAAAATTGTCTCACCAAATTTTAAATGGGTAAATTTAACCTAATAACATGGAGCTAGTGAACTGCATGTAGATGAGTTAGACTAGTCAGAACCAACAAAGCACCCATGTGCAGTGACATCACTACTACAGCTAACTGGCTGTCTGGCATGCTATGTTCAGCGTTCAAGCCTTGAGCCTGAAAAAATGAGTATGATTGTTTATGGCCAAAAAATAGGCATTGGCCTTAATTTATTTTTTAAAAAATCACAAATTAAATCACAGTCACAATGTTGGCCAGAATAATCACAATCTGATATTTTCTTCATATTGTTCAGCCCTAGATGATAGTATAGTGGATAACAGTGGAATTCCATATCCGGATAGGAATGCTGTTGATAGGCTAAAAAGTATTCAGTTTAAAACAGTACAAATACAATGTATTTAATCCAGCAAATTAACTTTGTTTTTGTATATATGCATTAAGTAGGTATTTCATCCACATGTATGTTACATCCATATGTAACATGAACAGAAATTATAAATTGCTTGTTTAATGTCCCACCTAGAAACTAGTAAATAGATCCACATGACAGTTTTAACATAGCTGCACTGATCAGCGTGAACGAATGAAGAAAACAAATGTCTCGTTTTCAGTACCATTAAAATCCTTTGTAAAGATTATGACATTTTATTGTATGCCTGTGTAATCTTTTTTTTTTTTGTCTAAACTTTGCAGCCATTTTTCTCTTTTGACTGAAACTGAAAATGCTGTTTTTGACCATTTTCAGTTGAACGTTTTTAGTGGCTGAAATTTTGAAATTCTTAGCTCAGCGTGTCAGTGCAAAGACTTCAGTAAAATCATGTTTCAGTGATTAATCATAGTGATATTTTGTCATAGTCATACCTTGAGTGATTTCTTTTTTGAGCACATCATTTTGATTAATGTTTTTCTGCTTTTTTCTGATTCAAATGTTCTATTGTTTTGTTAAAAATAAATGAATATGATAAATATGATAAATTCAGTCATAAAAGCTAATTTTTTTGCCATATGGTTTAATCAGTTTGAAAGATTTCTTCAGGTTTGTTTTCAGGCAAGCTCAGAAAACATAGTGACTGAAGGAAAAGTAAAATTTCAGATATGAACATTACTGGGTTAAATTTAATACATTATGTCATTGTAATAATACTCATGGTCCAGTCATAGTAGTGGAAGGGCCTTCCCCATAATCCTGACTGTGCTTAGCTGAGGTTGGATGGGAAATGCCCTTGCAAATCAAGTGAATCAGTGAGTAATCATGAGAAACAGTATGTGTTAAACAGAGTGGGTTTATACATAGAGAGTGAGTGTTAAAATCTGTAATGTTTCTGTTTGGATCTATAAGCAATGTCTCTGACAATGCTTCTGCGATAAAAGGTTTTTTTTTATATCCACCTTATACTCCTGATACAAATGCACATACCTACCCATGTGTACATATTCTCCCACAGACACTGACAGAGAAGGAGAGAGAAACAGAGATAGAGTGTGCGTGCATGTGTGTGTGTGCAGTGAGAGGTAATGGTAGAGGTTGAAGCAGAGGGCAGTCTTACTTGTCTCTGAAAGGCAGTGAAATTGGACTGAGGTTTCAGGCAAGAGGAATGCAAACTGAAGGAGAGAAAGAGCTGATGGAAGGGATTGAATATGATTGCTTTCTCAAGCAAAAGAATATCCATGCACTCTCTCTCTCTCTCTCTCTCTCTCTCTCTCTCTCTCTCTCTCTGTGTGGATGCATGCAGACACATTTTAACCCTCTGAGCAGCTAATAGTGTTAAGACCTAGCTTAAGCTTGACCTTTCAGAGAGAGAGGGATCAACCTTAATCCTGAGGGAAAGCATTTGAAAATGTTAGTGTGTGTATGTGTGGGTGCTTGTGTGAGTGACAGCAAGAGAGCAAGAGAAACAGAGAGAGTGTGTGGGTGTGTGTTTACAGTTATACTGTAAGTGGAAGTAGTTTGATAGGTATTTAGTGATAGAAACAGTGCTGTCTTGGTTTAGTGTATATGAAAACAGTGTGAACGTAAAACAGAGATATTTGTGGTATGGTTTTATGTGGGAGTTGTTTGTATGTGTTCTATGTGTGCGTGTATTTGTGTATGTGTGTTTGGCATTCTGTGTATACTGTAATAAGCAACAGAGGCCACGAGTTCAGCAAGAGTTCGGCTGAATATCCGTCTACACTCTGCCTTCTCTTACATAACTTCCAGCCCTCTGTGGATGTGTGTACGTGTGTGTGTGTGTGAGTGCGCACTGAGGGGGTGTGTCTGTGTCTGGATGAGTAATACCATGTGTGCCTGCATTTGCGTGTCTGTGTCTGTGTCTAACACCCTTTACTAACGAATCTCTCTCTTCCCCCTTCTCTCTCTCTCTGTCTCTCTCTCTCTCTCTTTCACTCAGCTCTCTTTTTCTCTCTCACTCTTTTCTCTCTTCCTCTTTTTCGCTTTCTATTTCTCTCCTCTCTCTCGCTTTCTCTTTGTCCTCCACCCTCTTTCTCTTCCTCTGCAGCCTTTCTTACTCTTCCATGTGTGTTAATCATTTCTTCCACCACTCCTAATCAGTCCCTGGCCAGCAGTGCTGCTGTGAAACCTTGAATTGACCTCACAACAATTCAAACTGATTATGATTCTTTACAAAATGATTCACTGCATCATATCAAATACTCTAAAAAAACAACTCAGTGTGAACTCAGTAGTGGAATATAGTCAATAAAAACAATGCACTTTTTTTTTGGAATATCCAGAGACTTGAACTTTGGCCAAAAATTGACATGCATTTTTACATGTTTATTGAAAACCATACACTTAATGCTGAATACTCTGTATGTTCTGTGCGTGTTGTAGGAGGGTGAAGTTGACGATTTGGCCCTGAGAGAGGATTCTTCGAGTCGGGAGCAGGTCCAAGCCTGGCTCAGACAGCGCCAGCTCCAGCACATTCTTCAGCTAGGTATTCTGGCCTCAACTCTCTTCTCCTGCTGGAAAAGGCAAGAAGGAGAGAGGGATGGAGGATTCTTCTCCTCAAATCCCTGAGCTGTGGGCGAGGAGAACAAACTGGTTATCGTGGGTGTCTGATAGACGTGGTGTCTGGGCTCTGCTGGTCAGGGCTGTTGAAAATGACTTTTTTTCTGATTAATGTTTGTTCAGGCTGTCAGCTCTGTCCGAAGTTGACTGTGAGCCCTTCCCGTCAAGTGCATTTTTTTGTTGATCAGTCTATTTTTTTGGTGTATTTTTCTTTCTTGCATGTTTGTACGGAGTGTTGTCTTTGACTGACCTTGTTGAATAGGTCAGCGCTGTCTAAATGACCAAGGGATTTTCACTCTGTAGTATCTTTATCAGTTCTGTCAGATTTGACAGTAGAGACAGGATGGTTGACCATTAGATATCCATCTTAAGCAGCTGAAAATTGTGAGTGGAGTTATAGCTTAAATATCTTCTTGTGTATACCAGCCGTAATTATACACTGAGAATTTATTTTGTTAATGTTTTGTTGTAGTGAATGTTTGTGCTAGAGCAGTATTTGTGGGCGATGTAGGCAGAGTGGAGGTTCCTGTGGTGTGAGTGTCTTTGTTGAGGTGAGAGTGAGGAGTCTTGCTGTTGAGAGCTGTTGCTTGTGTGTTACAGGGCACAACTGTGTGAAGGGCCTCAGGGTGAAGGTGTTCAGACACGACTCCAAACCCCAGTGGCTCTCCGGGATTGTAAGCCACCATGATCACAACAGCAGAACAATGACTGTTTTGAGTGACCAGGTAAGAACTTGCACACACCCCCACCCCCAACCTGGTGAAATGCAGTAAACCTACACTATCCTTTAAAAGTTTGACATCTAGCTTTTCAAAATCTTTGTAATAAATGAGCGTTTTCGCTATCAGTTTACAGTAGCTTATCATATGAAATAGGAAGCTGTTTGGATCTTGCTATTTTTAATTGCAAAAACTGCATTAGTGCCATACCCCACACATTTTATTCCATTATTTAAAGCAGCCTTTGGTGGTATGTGCTTTAAACAGTTTAAAAAGGGTTTTGTATGATAAAATAGCTGTTTTATGTTAACTTTTTCTTACTTAATTTTAAATCAGCTGCAAAAATTAAACATTACTTAGAAAATTTCTCTCTCTGTATGCTCTTGTCACTGCAGGTGTCAGAGCCTCTTAGTGTAGACCAGGAACTCATTCAGGTGGTTTTCCTGGATGACATCAGCCAGTTGTTATTGATGGGAGAAACCAACATAACTAAACGCAAACCTCGCACAAACAAGATCAACAGGACTATCCTGGTGAGGAAAGTCATTTTATTACAGTTAAGTGTGTATGTGTGTGTCCATGTGTGTTTGACAGTGAATGAGTATTTGTAGTACTCAGTGTTTCTCCCTTTGTCTCTTTGCCTTTTGACCTCCCTCCAGAATACAGTAAACAGGTTAAGCAACACTACAGCAAGGGACCAGGTACTATATCTGTATCTCACACACACACACACACACACACACACATACAATGTCAGACACACAATACTATGCAAGTACTGTACCATAGGAACAAACACATGCACGTAGACACAAACACAGTATAGCACACTTTACCACGCGCTCATATACAATTATCTGTCCTTGCAGGCATATAGCTCAGGGCCAGTGCAGAGGAAACAGCCTCAACTGTGCCGACAGGACTCCAACTGCAACCAAGCTGAGGATGAGGCAGAGGCAATGAGGGAGGAGAAGAGAGCTGATGAAGTGAGAGCAGGTGAGGTGCAGCAATACATTAATCTGATATTAACACTGGCCCTCTCACTGCTTGAATTCCATTTAGCTGCATTTAGATTTATTACATTAGCTCTTTAGGGAGAGGACATTCTCATTTAGTGTTAAACAAGAGTCTGGTGTCTGAAATAGACTCCTTTTGAAAGTTTTTTCTCTCAACAGAATGATTATTTCTGCTTTTTTATTACAAGAACTGTTTTTTGTACTTATTTCTAGATTCCTCCAAGAGTAGGATCAACCATGGGGAGAGGAAGAGGAGAAAAGTAGTGGAGTTGGAAGAGGAGGATGAAAAAGAGAAGAGAAGAGTGGGGCTGAAGAGGCTCAAGGGCGGCTGCAGCTCTGACCTGTCTGACTGCAGTGATTCGGAGAGTGGCAGCTGCATACTGCAGGAAATGTCTTGTGACATAGGGTCAAAAAGCCTGCAGAAGAAACGTTGTGCATCAAACAGGCCGGCTGACCATGAAACGGGCCAGAGTCCTGCGGGGCATGTGGGGCGGGATTTTAAAGCTTGTTCCTCCCCCAAAGGTGGGGAGCTCTCTCACAGCCAATTAGCGGAGCTTGAAGGAGTGGGGACAAGCCCTCCTTCCCAGTTCCATTTACCTGGCCCGTCCTGCAACGGAGCGTTTCAGGGCACTAGAGTTCAGGAGCCGCAGGCCATTGTGGGACCTGGTTGTGATAAGATAGAGGAGGAGAGAGGAGATGGAACTATAGAGACGGAGGACAGGAGCGAAGGAGCGTCCCAGGAGGACTCTGAGGCCGTGTCCGCCTTACTGGCATCCCAGGAGAGTGAGCAGCTGGTTTCCATGGAAACAGCATGTGTGTTGCTACACACATCCCCACCAGAGTGTGAAGGGGTTGAAGGGGACCAGGAGATTCCAGCAAGTGACCCAGAGATCAGAGGGTCAGCGTTCACCCACCCAGAGGTTGTCACACCTATCAGTGACTCAGCAGCCTCAGTGGAGGAGGAGCCTAGAGGAGCTCTGACTCATTCTACCATCATGCCTTTTAATGCAGATGTAGATGCTGGGAAGAGAGCTAAACTAAGTCAGTCTCCTGGAGATAGCAGTCCTGAACATGAAGCTGTGCCCCCTTTGAAAATTTCTCACAAACTGACTGAGCACCCCAGTCCTTGTTCCTCTCCAGAGATCATTTCCAAACATCCAGTGGTCACAGAAGTGTCCAAGCTGAGGCAAAATGCCTCTCCAGAGGCTTTCAGGATCAAAGATAGCAATTCTGCAGCTAAATCCATTACAGGGAAAGCTAACATTGGCCTTAAAAGCACACATGGTCCCAAAGTAACCTGCACCTCAGTTCTTAACCATAGCCATGCCCCCTCTCTTTCTCCGACTGACCAGCCAGCCCAATCCGGAACCCCTCCACAGCATCTTTCCAGCGCTCTAGATAAGCCAACCAAGAGCCCACTGATCATCGACAGGAATGAGCACTTCACTGTCTACAGAGACCCAGCACTTGTGAGGAAAGAGACAGAGAGCCACCGCTCCTACATCCAACCTGCACACACCCCACCCAACCCACACCCCAAACATCACCTTAAGAGCCCCTCCCCCTCTTCCAGCTCCCCCAACCTCACCTCCACCTCCTCTCACTCTAAGATTATGAGCCCCACCCCTCACCTCTCCCCCCTCTCCCTAACCTCACAGTCTCCTCTCTGCTCTCCGCACCCCTCCATCCCTCACCCCCATCTACTGCCCTCACTTTTGCCTGGCCTGCCCCCTTCCACTGCACTCCTGGCTGGTCACGCTCGGCTAGGGCCTCTTGGTCTCCCGCACCACCCACTGGCTCTACAGGCTACGCCCTCTCTTTTAGGCCAAAGCCCAGGAACTAGCCACCTGGCCCCTCTGGGTCTTTACCCACTCCTATGGCCTCCGTTCTCCAATGGGGCCCACAACTATGGCTTGAGCCTGCAGGGGTCCAAGTGGAATCACCCAGAGAGTGCAGAAATGTCCGAGGGTAACCTGAGGAGGGTAAGGGTCCTCTCACATGAGTCATAAATCCACTAATTTATTTTTTTTATGATAATGATTATTTTTCAGTATTATACAGTAAGTGTCAGTAGGAATGCTGTCAGTCTGCAGTTATTCAGGGCATTTGTGTTTATGTGCTAATGAGAGTCATACTGGGGGTGGAATTGGTTGGGCAGGACCAACAGATGCAGGGACCAAAGGGAAAAGGACCAAACAAGATAGGTATTAATATGTGATTTTTTTGAATATATTGAATTTGGAAGAATTTAATTAAGAATTCATTCAGTTCAAAAAACTGGAATTCAATGAAGTGGAAGTCAAGTGGAAATCCTGTACATTTAATATAAATCTTATAAAAGAAATTACATTGACCACATTTAACTACATTTATAATATAAAACATAAATTTGAATTGTTAGGAAAACTGTATACATCTTAAATGTTAGGTTTATTAATGTTTGAATTGACTGTGGTTTTGTGTATTCTTTGGAGTGTGGTTTTGACAATGGTTTTGTTTAGTATAGACTTGTATTAGTATGGTTAATTCATTTTGAAATTTTTAGGAATGTGGGTACTGGGTCGTGGTGCTGTTCATTCAAGTCTAAGTATTGGTCATGTATTGAGGGTGGTTATTAGACTCATATGTGATGTCAGGAGCCAGTGAGAGAAAGAACATAAAGATAATGCGTGAGAGAACACACAAAAGAAGGTATAGGACATTGTAGAAAAAAAAACTAATGAAGTGAATGGAAGCCCTGCAGATGCAGCTAGATTATTCCTGTTCAGTTTGAGTTGAATTCACGCTGGGCACTGCTGAAGTATCCGCTGTATGCGTCAAGTATACATGTTTCATATACATGACACGTGAATTTAACTTGTTACTTTCTCGTGGGTTGTATATAAGAACGTGTGTTTTCAGGGTTTTATTGTATATTTATTAGATTGTTTTTGTGTCTTATTTAATCTTTCTGTAATCATGGTGATTATTCTAGGCTTTCATATTTTTCAGGCTTTTGTTTGTTCTGCAATAACTAAGCGTCTGTATGTGTGTATTTGTTTATTTGTTTATCTGTCTGTGTGGGTGTGTGTATGTGTGTGTGTTCGTTCATAGAACACACCAAGCCCCTGGCTTCCTCAGCCTACTCCAGTAACCAGTGCAGAAAGTCAGGGGTTAAGACCTCCACTACCTGTGCGCCCATCAAGCGCTGACCCCCAGAGAGTGTCCAGGGCTGTCCAGCCCAGCACCCCCACCTCCAAAACCACTGAGTGAGTCCACACTCAACTCCTGTACACACACAATAATCAAAAGCTAAAATATTCTTATCTGACAGGTACAACTTTCCAGTTCAGCAAGAATTATGATTGAACCCAAAAATGACAGCGTTAATTGCTTTACTCTTTACTCTTAACTTTTACACATATACTGGCCTCCTTTTCTTGTTTCTAGGGAACTTGAGAGGAGAGCGTTCACTGAGACGCAAAGCTGTGTCCACACACCTATGAAGGCTGATCTGGAGCGGGTCCGAGCAGTGGGGAAGAACGAGCCCGGCTACCGCCCAGTGGCTCCAGAGTCACCCTCAGATCGTCCCAAACAGCCTCAAGTGGTCTACGACCTCACAGGTGACCGAACCAGCCACTACCAGGAGGAGAGCCGGCGCATTCTAAAGGAAAGCATTGAGGTGGCGCCGTTCACAGCTAAACTGGGTTCAGACAAAGACCCACGGTATCCCAAAAGCCCTACGCTTCGTTCCAAGGACAGAGAGAAGGAGCGTGACAGAGAGAGGGAAAGAGAAAGAGAGATGCATATGTTCAAGCACAGTTTGCCACCAAGGCCACAGTCAGCCCACCCCTCCCCCACCCAGACCAACTACTACACCCCTATGACTGGAGTTGTGGAGAACAAACCTTCAGCACGCAGGGCCCCACCCAGCAAGGAGCTATATGAGAGGCTGAGTGGTCCTAACACTGCTGCCTCTGTCCTACATTCACCTAGTACACAGAGCACAGTCAAGGCCAGGCCGCCACCACTTGTGAAGCGCCATCCTGAGAAAGAGGAAGGACTCCTGGGCAAGATTGCAGAGCAGTTGGCCTGTAAAGCCAACTCAGTGGTCTCAGTCGAACCAGCGGAACTCAGCAGTGTAGAAAGAAAGGGCTCCTCCACTTCTCTCATCTCTGTCTCAAATTCTTCTTCTCGCACCGGTCCCTCACTGCACCGAGCACCGATTTTCCATCCTCCAGCACCGCCCATTCTGGCCTCTAAAGAAACAGGACAGGGTAGATTGTCTCCTCCCACCCTGACACCTATCCAGCCAATGAGCTTATCTGGCAAAGGTCAGAATCAGCAGAGACCACCCACACTGATACCTGAGCTCAGACATGGAGCTGTTGCTGGAAAGAGGATAGCCCCTGAGCCAATAAGTATGACAAGTCAAGCTTATGACTTACAGAGAGGTGGAGTTTTGCACAACCGAGAGAGAGTGGTGGGAGGTCACACGACCAACGGAGGCGTGGTCACCCCACAGTCCGCCACAGCTTCTGTTATTGTTCGACCATCAAGCTACATGCATACGCCTGTGAACTACTCCGTCAATGATAGATCTCTTCCCCGACCTCACTGTGAACATGTGAGAACATTTGAAAGTGTGCCAAACACACACTTAAAGGAAGGTAGTGTACAATGTAAGAGGGGTGTCTTATGGACCCCTATGGACACTGTACATCCGATCAACATGGTCACCTCAAAGCAGGATGTTAATGCACCCTTGAACATGACAACTAAAAATATAAGTACAGCTCACTTTGCAAATCGTGGAATGAAATATTCAAGTATAGATACGCCACACTCAAGAGTTGACGTAGTATCTGAGCAATGTAAAAAGAATGAGGTTGGGACAGTTCAGCCAAAGTTTGATTTCTCCTCTACTCCCTGCTGCCCTACTAGAGACCTCCCTCATGTGAAGAAACGAAGAGCCGGGCTCGCTGCTCCAGAACCAAGACACAATACACACACAGTCCAGCCCCTACACACTACACACACTTTGAACTCTACCAAGAGTGTTTCGCACACCTCACACAGTAGGTACAGCACTTACACTACACACAGCACACACACCATATGTACTGCACACGCTTTGGAGAGGGATAAAGAGTCTATATTCAATCCAAGTCCTCCAAAATGTCCTAGGCTTTTCTCCGAAGTCACTGATGTTAGGGTCACAAACAAACCAAGCTCAATGGCCAAAAGTCAGTCACCAGCTCCTCCACCTAATACCAACCAATCTGCTCATTCTGGTCAGAACAACTACCACAAACTAAAAAAGGCCTGGCTGACCCGCCACTCTGAGCAGGACAGAGGTAATGCCACCTCCCAGACAACAGGGTGCAGTCAAATGGATACCACCCTCACCAGCACAAGCAGTGTCTCCTTGCCAACTAAACAAGAGGTGAATGGGCTGGAGAACAAATGGTCCATCCAGCAGGGCAAAGAGTGTTCTCTGGACAACAGAAAGTCCAATTCTCTGGACTGGAGATGCTCTCCAGAGGACAGAAAGTCTAACGGAAGCAATACAATGCCCAAAACTGAGAACAAGAAACCTGTCGTGGGGGATAGGAAAGCTACCTTAGTGGATATAAAGCCTATCATGGACAGAAATGGTAACTTCGATGACAAGAAGCTGTATGCTAATGAGAGGAAACCAAGCCCAGTCCCCATAAAGACAGAAAAGGACAATCGTGGGGACAAACAGATTTTTCAGTCAAGCTTTGAAAGTGGTGATTCGGGCAATGAAAGCGAGAGTCGCAAATCTGATTCAGGGGGCAAACGCCAGCTGAAACCCATGCTCATAAAGAAGCAGAACGACCAGCAGAAAAAGAGAGGAGAGAATGACAAAGAGGAGCATGAAGAGGTGGAAGAAGAAGAGGGGAAAACGAATGGAACTTTCCGGACTACAAAAGAGAAATCTCAGCACAGGCTGCCCAGCAGCAGTGAGTATTTTATTTGTTTTTTAAACATGAGCGCATGTACATGTGTGCATGTTTTAAGACCTTAAAGATTGTGAACATATAGTCAGACTAGAATGTTTGTCTTTTAATGTCTTAATCACAATTCTGTGAGTTAGACTAACAGTTAGAAGAAAGCCAGCCTTTGATGATACAGTTTCAGCTGGATGACTGTCATTAACAAAGTTATTTTCATTGACTGAAAATCAACTGGGCTGGCTCCCACTGAAGATATCCAGTACAGTGCTGCACAAATTGATTTGAGTGAGGAGTTTTTTGGAAGAATTTCATCCACTGATCCCTAACCCATACATTCCTGTTACTCTGAAACACCACCTTCAATAAGATGAGCAGTCAGGCCACAGCTGTGAGCAATTTTTTGATTAAAAAAAAACAGCAAATTTCCATGACCTTACCTTTATTCAGCCATCAACAGCTTTGCTTTAATAGATTCAGATTTGCCTTCCAAAACCACATGTACCAGTGCCTCTCACTGTGAAGCCGTGCAACCTGTTTTAAATGTGAAATATGGAGCTTTCCACCATCAATAGCCCCTTATTTCCTGCTGTGACATCATGCAATAGAGAGAGACAGAAGGGAATACCAATCTCAACATGTTCTCTGCCTGCTTGATTGAAGGTGGGTAAGCTGATGGGGCTTGTTGCTTGTTTTCTTTCTCTCTCTCCTCAGATGGCATCCCTCGTTCAGTGCTGAAGGACTGGAGGAAGGTGAAGAAGCTGAAACAGAGTGGTGAGGCCTTTCTGCAGGACGACTCGTGTGCTGAGATTGGTGCTAATGTGCAGAAGTGCCGCGAGTGCCGGCTGGATCGCTCACGCAAAGCCCAAGAGCCTGCTGTCTCACCCGTCTTCTGCCGCTTTTACTACTTCCGCCGGTGAGCCTCACGTCTTAAGGCTGGGCCAGCTGAGTGCATTCAGAAATTCGATGAATTAAAGTTCAAATAAATTCTTGTAAAATAACTTTCTCTAAAATAAATGTGTTTTCTGAGCTAGCAACAATTTTGACAATTGTCAGTTAGTCAGTTACTGCTTCAAATAATCGATTTACCCATTGAAACCTAGACTTCTTAGTCTTTTATTAATTTTGAGGCTTATTATTCAGTGACTACTATAAATTATGTGGAAACTACTATGAAACAAGTGCATAAGTTATGTAGCAAGTGAGGAACTAAAGTGTGGGCCATCATACAAGCCCTTAGTTTTTAGATGGTTAATTAGATTTTTTAAGTCATTTTTGTTCTTTGGTGCTATGTTGCATAAATCTCCCTTAAGGGAACATGAATATTCATGCTATAAATTATAGATACACAAATATGAAGATTCTAGCATGACCACAAATGTGTACCAGTATATGAGATTTTATCCTTTAGAAAAACATCTGTGCAGCTCTTTGAGCAATTCTGAAACAGCCTTTATTAGACATAAAAAGGCAGAAGAAATTTTACTTTCATGTAAGTTGAGAAATTATACCCTTTTTTACAATGGAGAAAACCATACAGTCTTTAAAAATATGTTGCTGATCAAACTGCTCAGTTACATCAGAAAAATCTGTATCGCCATGGGATTCTAAATAACCATTACCGTTCAAATCAAGTAAACCTCACTCAAACCCTTCCATTAACCCAACCCTATTACAGAGTAATGGAGGGTTTCTCATTCTTGCTTACAGCTTTAAGGAGCTTAAGAAAATGAAAGACCCAGATAACTGTGCGGTTCGTTCTGCAAGAGGCTTTCTCTTCAGGTGGCCATGTACAGTTGTTCTCCTGAGATTTAGCCATTTTAAACTGTCTTCCTGACAGACATCAGTGTAAAATGCTCCTGTGCTTAAGACTGCCACCGCCTTCCACTGAGATAGCGTCCACTATCTTTCAGTGATGTTGCTAGAAATTAGTTGTCATTTGTTATTTTTTAGCTATTGCAGTCTTACAGCTAGCCTTTACTGAGGTTGTTTTAAGAAACACAATTTTAAGATTAAAAATATTTTAATTGCATGTAAAAATACAGTGTTCATTAATCCAGATGTGCCTTTTAGTCAAGGACTAAGCTTAATCTCTATCTGGAAACCAGCCCAGAAAGTCTCTGTCTAAACTTGTTTTGTCCAGTAAAGCTGCAGTTTAAGTATGAAAAGGCTTCTAGACTCTTTATTATTCAGAATCAGTCTGCCATGTGGTGGAAAACCCAACAGTATTGGGACACTTTGTGTGAAGACAGAGAGGTTTACAAGAAATTCAAAAAACAAAAAAACCTGTTAGCTTAAATGTATTAGATAATTGTTCTCTTCTGCCGTAGACTGTCATACAGCAAGAATGGAGTAGTGCGTGTGGATGGATTCTCTGTTGCCGAGCAGTCTGATGAGGACGCAGTGAAGGTCTGGATGTCTGGATTTGAGGATGTAGAAGACAAGGATAAGAGAGAGATGGAGCTCAACACAGCCAAATATATCCTCACACTCATAGGAGACCAGTTCTGCCAGCTGGTCAAGACTGAGAACATCGCTGTCACCTGGGTCAAGAAAGACAGTGAGTTTGTGTCCATGCGTGTTTGAGGACCAAATGTCCTTATGATGATTGAAAAACATGAACATTTTGCAGATTTGTGGACATTTGGCTGTGTGTTTCTGTGAGACAGAGGTAGTATTATTTATTTGACTGTCTTTGTTTCTTTCATGTAAAAGTACACATTAAACATATAGTTTATAAATGATTTTTTAATGTCAGGACATTTTCACTCACATTCACTGTGTGCAATTTGTGGAATTAATTAAAAGACTGATTGAATAACTTTTTTTTTTTTTATTCTGTGTATGACAACAATCCTTTCATTCTGTCCTTTTATCCCCTCCCCCTGTGTGCATGTATGTGCAGGCCAGGTGATGTGGAAACGGGCTGTGCGGGGTGTGAGGGAGATGTGTGATGCATGTGAGGCCACTCTGTTCAACATGCACTGGGCCTGTCATAAGTGTGGCTTTGTGGTATGTATGGACTGCTACAAAGCCCGTGAGAGGAAGAGTGCCAAAGGTAAGTGACACACTCATGTAAATACATCACACATTATTTGAATATTTCACATATTCGAATATCATATTCCTAATGTTTCTGAATGTTTTTTTTCTTTCTTTTTTGACAGATAAAGAGCTGTATGCCTGGGTTAGGTGTGTGAAAAACCAGCCCCACGACCTAAAGAATCTAATGCCTACACAAATAGTCCCAGAAATAGGTAGGTGCTGTGTGTATCTGGTATATGCAACCAAGGACTGACTTACAGTAAGCTGTTACTGTCAGTGATAATAGTTGGGAAATGTCAACGTGATTTTAATGTGGTTTTGCGGTATGTCCCGCAGTGTTGGCAGGCCTGCAGAGCTCCATGCACTCCATAAGGAGAGAATATGGCATTCCCTCTCACTGCTCATGCTCTGGGAACAGCATCTTCTCCCCTAAACCCATCACCACCTACGGTTTCTCACAGGTGACATACTTAACCTTTCCTTATTCTGCTCACCTTCAAAGCCCTCATCCCCTCCACATTGATTACTGCACTTCTCTCTTCAGTGAGAGAGAGTCCCTGTTAAATTACTTATCCGACCTCAGTTTATTCAAACCTTACATCCAACGTTTGCATTCTGCATGCGTCACCCCTGTCTTGTATCAGCTTCACTGGTCGCCAACATCACTTTTGATTTGATTTGATTTGATTTGATTCTTCTGCAGTTCAATTGGAGTTGACAATTCAATATTCTCACAATATTTTGAACAAAATTTGATTAAAGAAATATGGTTGCTGTATTAATATGATTTTACAACCTGCTAATGAGACTAGAGCTGGATGGCACAAGAATTGGGAGTGTGTAAAATGACGCTGAACATACTCACGCAGGGATGAAGTTGATAGTGGTGTATGATGTTGAACACACTGGTGTGAGGGTTAAGTTGGGAGTTAACTTGGGAGTGGCATATGATATTAAATGTGCTGGTGCAGTGGACGGGACAGTTGGATGGTGTATGTGCTGGTTTGGCACATTTTTGCATCACAGTTTCGTTCCGCTTATGATTGCACCTCTATGTATCTTACTGGGTTCCTTAATTCTTACAGCCTCTCTCAAACTCTTATGGCACTGGACTTACTGCAGTCCTTTTGCCAACGAGTGACTGCTGCTTTTTGCAAACTCTGAAACTGTCTGCCATTATCCCTCTGTGACTATTCTTTTATTTTATACTTTAAATATTAACTTGTGACCTTCCTTTTCATTACACATTATTCTTCTTTCACTGTGTCATAGTTGTTTTTGTTCCCCGACAGTGTCCTTGAATTTGTGAAATGTACTATATAAATAGAGTATGTCATTATCATTACAGGTCATATCATCTTCTGTGTGACAATTTTTACTTTACACTGACACACTCCTTTAGTTGTAGCTCCATTGACCTGTATAGTAAACAATCTCTGCTGAATAAAGACATCAGTGTGATTGTGTTGCTGTATCAGCTTTCAGCAAAGGCACAGTGTGACTCCAAGAGCCAGCAGAGCTCGCCACAGGTCCCCGATCAACAGAGGAGTGCACAGGACGCAGCTCACAAGACCCCCACAGAGAGAAGAGGTGAGTAATACACACACACCTACACACATACACAAACATACACACACACCCCAACCATCTGTTTAGCCTCTGTATCTTTACTACACATTACATCACCCTGCATTAAGCCTGGCTTATACCCTGGCTTATAGCAGAGACAAAAGATTAAACAAGTCTGCACGCTCTTGTTAGGGAGATTGAGCTATTTATTTGATTGGTAATTATAGAGCACTTTTGTGTGTGTGCTTCAGAAGAGTTGAGTTGTAATGATTTGGTTGCAGGGGTATAAATCTCTAACCTTACAATTTGATTTAATTACCATTCTTTAGGAATCTTTTCAGTGCATCATGAAATCTCAGACTTCACCATTTTAATTCATTTATTTCATATGATGTATATTTGCTTTAAAAAATATACTGAATGCACAAATGTGTCTGATGGAACACGGTAGTGGAATATAGACAATAAAAACTGCATTCTTGGCACATTTATTGTCAAGAAATGCCTTATTTCAATTAAACCCACCAAGTAAAAAAATAAATGTATACTGTATTGTGTAGTACTATATTAATTATAATTGATTGTGGCAGTTTAAAATTGATGCAGTATGACTGCTGCCTTTGGATGCCTGTTTGGTTTTCTTTATTTGAATGGCTGTATGTGTTTGTGTGTTGTAGGGAAGCCGGAGTGTGACAGGGTGGAGGCTCTGGGCAGGAAGTCCAGCAGTCCAGAGCAGGGCTCCACTTTGCGAGACCTGCTGACCTCCACAGCTGGGAAACTGCGACTGGGGTCCAGTGGCCCTGGAATAGCCTTTGCGCCCGTTTACAACAACAATGATCAGGTCAGACATACACACTTAGAGACGGCAGCATACCCTGGTGCTTCCTCACAAACTTGTGTACTTTTTCTTGGCTAAAGTCATTCAATTATGTACTTTGTAATTATGTAATTATGTGCTTTATGCTTTAGAACACTCAGAACACTCGAATGCCCAACCTCCTGGATGACATCATAGCCTCAGTTGTGGAGAATAAGATTCCCGCCTCTAAGATGGCCAAACTGGGACTGAAGCAGGATTTGCTGACAGAAGAAGAGGCGGAGCTGGGACTAGAGGAGGTGAAATCTGATCAAATCCCATTGGCTGACCCTCATGCCAGCATCCCTCATGATTGGCTAGGCATCCACCGGCTGCTCTGGCTTAAAGATCACCGTCACCTAGGCAACCAAAGACTGTTCAAAGAGAACTGGACACAAGAGCAGGTTTGTTACTGTACACAAGTTGAGCATTAACTATCACTTTGTAGACAGATGAGATTTCAAAAGTGATTACTCGCTTGACTTGTTTTTTACAATAACATAAGAAATTGGGAAGTGGAATTAATTTGAACACATTCACCTTCCTGTTTTAACATTAAAAAGCTAGAAGATTAGTATGGCTTGTGTTTAGTATGTGACCTGGACTGATGTTGGTGTCGGTGTTGTTCTGCAGCCAGTGCTGGTCTCCGGACTGCACAAGAGTCTAAATGCCAGTCTGTGGAAGCCAGAGCACTTCAGCCGAGAGTTCTCTGCTCTCCACAGCGATATCTACAACTGCCGTGATGGGAGCATCACAAACTCGCGCGTCAAGGAATTCTGGGATGGCTTTGAAGATGTGTCAAGTGTGTGTCATGCCATCATGTCATGTATTTTCTTTCCTTTCACCTGGCTCTTTAATAATAGTAATAATAATAATTTTAATTTGCAGTACTGTTATTGAGGTTTTATAAAGTACATCAAGATTGAACAGGATGGTTCTAAAATATAAAGAGGAAAATGAACTGCTATGAAGGATATAAGGACAAAATGCTAATATAACAGAATGCAAATAGGAATAATATATGACAAATAAAAATACTGAAAAATCTATAAAAATAATATCAACATATTATTTTTTTTTCATCAGAGAGACCTAAGTCTCCTAAAGGTGACCCTGCAGTATACAGACTGAAAGACTGGCCCTCTGGGGAGGAGTTCCTGGCCCTCATGCCATCCAGGTAGAGCTCCATGCCATTGACTCTTCCCACCACACCTCATTTGCGTAGAATTCCTGTGCTTATACAAATCGCCTCCAGAATTTGAATAAACTCTCTGCAGTATTTGAATACACCACTGCATCAACCTCAGGAACAGCATCACTATTTTACAGTCTAATCTGCAGTAGACACTATTAAAGTACTCAGTTACATGATTTGATAACAGAGAGATATAATCAACTATCTGTTTATTAGGAATTTGAGAAGCTTTTAACTGTTTCAGATAAGATGATGTAATTTTCATGTAATGTAAGTCTTAGCTTTGATGATACAGTGATTTTAAGCTGGCTTTAGTGTTATGAAACTTTGATATTAACTTGCGTATGCTGAAGTAATTATATTACTTGGATATGATGGAAAAATTATATTGCCTTTGTTAGGTATGAAGATGTGATGAGCACTCTGCCAGTTCCAGAATACACTGGTCCAGATGGCAGTCTAAACCTGGCCTCACGCCTGCCATCGTTCTTTATCAGGCCAGACCTGGGCCCTCGCCTCTGCTGTGCTCATGGTATTCCCCCTGGTCTTGTCCATCACCTCCAACTGCTCTTTTCTCTGCCATACTGAGCATTTTGTTTTTAGAAAACTTGTGAGAGCTTCTAATTTACGTATGTGTGTGTGCGTGTGTGTCTGTGCAGGTGTGACAGCATGCCCAGAGCAGGACTTTGGAACCAGCAATCTGCATGTTGAAATTTCTGACACCATGAGTATTCTGGTCTATGTGGGCATAGCCAAAGGCAACGGGGCACTCTCTAAGACAGGTTAGACCTTTATTGAAAATATGACATCAGGACATCTTGTGGCATCAAATGATTTGTCCAATCATGATGTTAAATAGAAATGGAGATATCATAATTAAATACAACCCCATTTCCAAAAAAGTTTTGATGCTGTGCAAAATGTAAAGAAAAAAAAATGAAATGACGTGCAAATCATTTAAATCCTATGTTTATTTGAAAATAGTATAAAGACAACAAATCATATGTTGAAACTGAGAAATTTTATTGTTTTTTGAAAAATATATGCCTATTTTGAATTTAATGCCAACAACACGTTCCAAAAAAGTTGGGACGGGGGCATGTTTACCACGGTTTAACAACACTCTTTAAGCATTTGGGAACTGAGGAGACCAAGTGTTATAGTTTTGAAAGTTAAATGTTTTCTGGTTCTTGTTTGACATAGGATTTCAGCTGCTCATCAGTTCGGGGTCTCCTTTGTTGTATTTTTCATTTCATAATGCGCCAAATGTTATCAGTAGGTGACAAATCTGCTCTTTTTATACCCAGTCATTTTACTGACCTGTTGCCAATTAACCACCAGATGTTTTTATTTTTTTAGGGTTACACAATTTTACCAGCCTTTTGTTGCCCCTGTCCCAACTTTTTTGGAACAGTTTCAACATGTGATATGTGGTCTTTGTATTTATTTTAATATAGGGTTAAAATGATTTGCGCATCGTTGCATTTTGTTTTTGTTTACATTTTGCACAGCGTCCCAACATTTTTGGAAATGAGGTTGTAGTTTGAAAACTTAGAGATGTAAAGCTCTGACCTAAGAGCCATTTGATTCATTTTATTTTGGCCAAAAAAAAAATTTGTGCATATTGTATCGACTACTATTATCAAATATAATTGGTTATAACATTCCAAAATTTATGTATTTGTATTACCACTTTCAGAATAATGCATTTTTACACCGATTTGCAATAGCTGACATATTGTGATATAAGGTCCTTGAGACCTGAGCTGTATCACAAACCTGTTCAGTATTATGGTATAAAGTCTTAGAATTGTCTAAGTATTATAGTCTGTAATCCTTTGTAGTACTGTTTTCCCTGTGACACGTTTTCTCTGAAGCCTGCTGAGAGTTAATCAATGAAAACAAACCCTCAGGCTTGGAACTAAATGTATCTATAGTTTAATAGTGTCTTTTGAGTCACTGTGATGAAATTTTTATTTGTATCTCTTAAAACTTATCATCACTAGAGTCTTTAAAGGGATGTCCTGAGTTATAGTGTATCACTCTGTTAATCTGTAACTCTGCTATGTATGTGTGTGTGCTTCAGGAGTACTGAAGCTCTTAGAGAGAGAAGCTCTGGATGAGAGTGCGAAGAAGAGGCTGAGAGATCCCAGTGAAACTCCAGGTGCACTATGGCACATATTCTTGAGTAAAGACCTCCATAAGATCCAGGATTTCCTCCAAACGGTAGGATGCTGCTTGTCAAAGCCACTGCCATTTGCTAAAACACAGTGCACCATGTCAAACTTCAGAGCCGTAAAAACAGTGTTTTCCTTTGAGGCATTAGACATAAGTTGCCATTGAGATGTGAGGCAGTCCATTACTACTGATTTGATTCTATACTGTCTACTTGGGTGGTGTAATGGAATAGGCCTGCGTGGTAACTGTCTGAGCACCAAATAAAAGCGTTTACTTGATGTATATACATTGTTTTGAAATAGATTTGTAACCGTATTTGGAATAAAATTTGAAATCATGTATCATATTAGTAATTGTTTATTTAGTATTAACTTATACAGTGAAGACTGCTATATAAATTTAATGATAAATAATAATATTTAATTGTTTACTTATATTCATGTCCTATCAAGTTATCTGGATTGAGATTTGATCACCACTTTTGAAATATTAAGTTTTCTGGCGGCTCCCTAGTGGCCCAGCCACCCAAGTGTAACACTTATCATCACAAAATCACAAATTTTGCGAGGTTCTGATGTCATAGCTATCCATGGATGGGAGTACAAGATTATTAATTAGTAATTGGCCTCACTCCCTCTGGGTTGGTGGGATGGCTCTCTCTCTCCCCATCACTCAGTGGTTGCCAACATGAGCATCTGTGAGCTGAGGTATCAAAATTGGCCATTAGTGTTCTCCTCTAAGCTCACTGAGGTGTTCAATGACATTGTGTTAGCAGCAGTTCAAAAATATGCTAGACTTCCCCCTCCTAACCTGGTAGCATCTTGTGATGGAAAGGTTTAAGTTAGCAGGGGGAAATAGACATGATTAAATTGGGGAGAATATTGGGTAAGAAATCACACAAAAAGTAATATAAAGTATTCTGAATGTTCATTTTATTTAACTTCATTCTCAGTGTTATACAGATTTCTCAGTTATTGACATATTAACATCTGTTTGTCATGAACAATTTTGTAACATTTCTTAGCTGTTTAACAAATTACTGCAAAAACTACTTAGTATTAGCATTGTTTTAATTTTATGCAGATATCTGCCATTGTTTTTATGTTGTGATTCTAGACTTTTGAACAGTGATTTTAAACTTTTAAATGATGGTGTAGGTGTGAGTTCTTACCTGTTTCCTGTGTTTTTGTGTGTGGTTTGGTGTGTTTCTAGCTATCAGCAGAGCATGCTGAGGCAGACGCTGAAGCTGACTCTGATGCGGAGTGGGACAGTGAGGCAGACCCCCTGCGAGAGGGCGGCTGGTACCTGAGCCCTAGACTCCGGCAGAGACTGCTTGAGGAGCATGGCGTGGAGAGCCGCACGTTGCTCCAGTTTTATGGAGATGCTGTTATTATCCCAGCTGGAGCGCTACACCAGGTCCTCAACTCAGCATCACATCTACACTCTCTGTCACACCGTCTTTCCATCAAACTCTGAGACATCCTTTATTAAAGGATACGGTGTCAGAATACAGTGGAAGGGCAGGGATATTAGAACGTGCAGGTCCCCGACATTTAATCCTATTTCTGTGGTCAACCTTGTGTGTGTGGATTTGAGGCACTGCCAAAGGCTCATACCACAGCTACTGGTGTTCTTCAAATATTATTGTAAGTGCTAGATTAGGGCATCTTTATTATAGTGGATAAAAACATAGGGACCATTCAAGAGGCACATTTTTCTGTTGCCTGTAATCCTTTTACAGTTTACTTGTCTATACCAGAAGCTTCTGTACCAGAGGTATCTAGCAAAATCATTAATCTGAGCACTATTTACATTTTGGAAATACTGTTATAGATGTCAGAAGTAATTTGTCTGAACATATTAAATATTTGTAGTTGAATTATTAGCTCCTTTGCAACACCCAGTGTTCACTCAGATTGGTCACTTTTCTTCCATATGTTGCTGTATAAATGATGAACATGCAGTACACTTGTTTCATTTTCAGTTCTTCATAAGTAATCGCTTAATATGTTGTGGTTTGTTGTCTGCTCTGTGAGCAGGTCATGAATTTGCACAGTTGCATCCAGGTGAATGTGGACTTTGTCTCCCCTGAACACGCCCACAACTCCTATTATCTGACCCAGGAGCTCCGCCCCCTCAAAGACCAAGTAAACTATGAGGACAAACTACAGGTGCCACTTGTCTTTCACTGACATTCTCTCTGTCTATTCTGTTCCTCTTTTATGGAACTAACTCTTGCAACATGCTTGTTCAGGTAAAGAACATCATCTACCACTCAGTGAAAGATGCTGTTGCTACACTGGGCAGGCATTTGAAGGAGCAGAGCACACTGGAGGAGGTGAAAGAAGAAGAGTCCTGACAGCGTCCCTTCTCATCCTCAGACCAGACCGAATGGAGCATGACCACCTCCATATTCTTCACTGAGGAAGCCACTGGTCTGAAAACCAAAGCTGGAGCTGCAGACTTTACACCAATAAAACGAAAACACTCTTTTGCTTCCATGCAAGAACATGTCACTTCCTCCATGACATCAGTCTTCTCTTTTGATTTTATTCTCTTCGTCTAATCTTTCTCTGACACCCATCCCCGCCCTGATGTCTTCCTGCTTGGACAGGAAGTGAAGTAAGGGGTTGAGACATGGCTGAACCAGCGAGACAGGGGAAATACAACTCTCTCGCTCTTCTGAGCATGAAACTGCAAGGCTGCTGGGCAGGAAGGTGAACTGCTAAGCACAGCACTTTCAGACTCATGCTGTGTGAGTTACAGTAGGCTGTGGGAAACCACTGAAAAAGAACAACTACATTTTTTTTTCCAGAAGAAGATATTCTAAGGCAAATTTTAATCAGTAATTATCATGCTGCTAACCGTTTAGCTAAACTGTCTGCTGAGGTTCGGACAGTTGGGAGAGCAGCTAGGCCAACAACCATAGCAGCATTCCTTTATGTCAGCCAACACCAAGCTGTTAGCTTATTCTGTTCATTTCAAAGCTCATATTAAATTATTAACAGTTTGGCAGGTATTCACTGTGCTGAAGAAGAATACAAAAGAATTTGCAGTATATGATGTGTTTGTTAAAAAAAATGTGAGATTTTCAGCTGAAATATAATATGTAAATAGCAGAATATACATATAATATATTAATTATGATTTTTCTATAACATGGTGTGCTTTATTTGCTGTATGTGTCGTTTGCTACTGTATGTACATTGAAGTAAAAGAGATGTTTTACATTTTCCATTAAAAATGGAACAATCAAAATATTTTGGGTCTATGAAAATATCTGTTCAACACACACACATCAAATACTTAAATAATAATCTGAAGTAATAATAATACTCATTTAGACAGTATTCCAAACAATAACAACACTAACAGTGATTTGTTTTCACACTGAGCGGAAGACCATTTTTATGTGCATTATTTATGAATAAAAAGTCTTCTATGATATTAAGATAATAATCATACTATAATGACAAATCAACAGTATGGCTTTCTGTGTCCCATAGCCTAAGTATCTGTTCAGAAATGCAGATATCACATTATCTTATATGATGTATGATGAGAATGCTGATTTTCATTGTCTGTTTAAAACAGAAAGACTGCTGATTTACAAAGCAACGTATGCCTTTAACATACATGCATAGGGAGTATTTCTCTGTCGTCACAATGATCTGATCAAATTGCGACTTTGCAGGAACCTATTCATGAAATGTTAAATCCATGCAGCTCAATCACCACCTTCAGATCGATGCAATTTTACACACCTAGTACTTACACACTAAAGACAACAAACCACAGAAGTCTATTTCAAATATTCATGCTTCAGGTGTAAACCTCACTGTCCAGCAGGGTCTAGTCCCTTTCCCACAACAGCCGTATTTCCTCCTTGAGGTCAGGGGGCAGATGTAAAAGTGGCAGATCCAGCGGGAGTTGCCCTTGAGTGGCCTCAACAGTGTTCAGCAGCGGGGTTAAATGAGGACCCTGCTGGTCTGCATAGGGGTCTCTCTTTAGCCGAGCATTCTCTACTTTCAGGCTCTCATTTTCCTCCAGTAACTTTTCATTCTCTCGCAGCAGGACAGCCACAACCTTTCTAAGGTCAGCAATGGCCATGCTCTGCTCCTCCAGCCGAGTCCTGTCATCTTTGGCTGCTTTACACCCATGTGGAGTCTCCTGGGAGACATAGTGGATGGCTGGGGGAGACTGGGTGGATGGTAGTGGTGTCTGCTTTGTGCAGACAGAAGGCTTTCTTGCAAGCTTTCCCTGTTTCCAGGTCTCCCCGATCAGGCGCTGCTGCTGAAGATGTCTGTCTCTCTGGAGCTCAAGAGATAGCTTGACCTTTGCAAAAAAAAGATTTATTATTTCCATGAGAAACCAAAACATTAGTTGCTATGCCTGCCTGGAGTTACTTAAACAGACAAAATGTGATTTTGAGACCAGATAGTTGTTCTTCTTACTAAACAATATATATATATATATATATATATATATATATATATATATGTGTGTGTGTGTGTGTGTGTGTGTGTGTGTGTGTGTATCACTGCTGTCAGAATAAAACCTCATATCTCTCCAAAATGATTACAGGAGAAGTCCTTCTGGGCCGTTTCTTTTGGTCCATTCCTTCAAAAACTGAAAAATGTCAAAAAAACGTATATCTCCACGTGTGGGGTGTGTGTGAGAGGGTGTTCACAGCACTGTCCAAAGACCACTCTTTCAATTACTAAATTTTCAGTCAAAACCACCATTAAGTACACGTTATTTATTTATATCTAACAGAAAATTATACAGAAGCCTTAATAATTAAATATAAACATTTCCTGTGTTTGGAGTGTCAACCCTTTATTACAGCTTACACTCTTTTCAGAAGACTTGCTTTCAGTCTTTCTAAGAAATCTGGAGGCATATTTTTCCACATTTCCAAAGTTCAGTCTCAGAAATTGGTTGCATTTTCTGTTTCGCATGATCCAAATAATCCCAAACACATTCACCATCTGGGCTGTGGAGTGGCCTAGTAGTAGGAGAGGTGAGCCAACAACTGGAAGGTTGCAGGTACAAAGCCCAGGAGTGAGTGGGTATTCCTGGTTGTTCCTTTGGGCAAAGCACTTTGCCCCCCACTTTCATTGCTGCAGCTGCATACATATTGCCTTCTGTTACTTCTTAAGATCCAAAATTTAGAACACAGTGGAAGGATGGACAGAAACACCTGCAGATCTTTTCAGATCTGAAGCAAGAGTGAAGCTTGATTTTCACCTCTCTCTCTCTAAGATAAAAGTTCAAGAACACAAGAATTTGATTGTGACAGTTTTGGTGGTCTACCAGGTCTTGCACTGTTGGTAGGGGTCTGGTTTTCTCTGTATCTTTTAATCTTTTTTGAATTTCATATACGTGTTGGGCTTTCCTCTTCCTTATGTGGATATATATATATATACTTACATTAAAAGTAAAGTAGGTTTTTTCCTTCTCCTGCAAAGTTAGCATTTTGGAGATATGAGGGTTTTTTTTCGAAAATAACGATATATATATCAGTGTCACTGCAGTGCTGAGACTGATCCACCACCCAAATAACACCTGCTCTGTGGTGGTCCTGTGGGGGTCCAGACAATTGAAGAACAGGGTAAAAGGGGGCTAACAAAGTATACAGAGAAACAGATGGACTTGAGGCTGTAACTGTAAAACTACAAAGCGCACCTACATGGTAAGTGGAGCTGATCAAATAGACAAAGAATGTAGATACAAGGAGGTGTGGTAGACAAGTGGTCAGTTAATGTATTTAAAATCATTTTCATACTCACAATTGTGTAACCCCTTGTGGCATGTGGATGGGGCCATTATCATTCAGGAAGAGACCACCTTTATCATCACAGGATGAAGGTGGTCAGTCAGAACTTCGAAAAACTTCACCACAAGTGCACTCACCCACTTATTGAGAAAGTGGTCAAGGTTGACTCATCTGATCACATCACTTTTTCCATATCTCTCACTAGTTCCTGTGGTTTTCACACCAATGAAGTCTCAACGTGCTTTTGTCTTTGTAATGAGCACTGCAGCCCTACTATACATATCCTTCCAATATGTAGTTGTTGACAGACTGTCACCCGAGCAACACTCGCCTTTCTGTTTTTCCTCAGATGTCACAGTATTGCACAAGCATCACAGTCAATGAATGAACAATTTCATCCACAGTCCGATTGATCTATATGTAGGTGTCACTTTAGTCACTCCTCCTGCCATCCACGCTCTCTGACTCTCTCAATGACTCTCTCTTAAAGTCTCTTAACCCAAAATCAGTTGGGCCTGTTCAGCACTTTTTATTTATTCCACAGAGTATGGTGGGACGTTAACTGTTTAATGGTGTCGGGCTGCACACCTGCTTGGAAGTATTTGCATTCATTATGTTTCTCCATTCATTTATTAAATGACTTTGTTGTAAAGGGTTACTCCATTACTACAGTGTTATAACAGTTGTTATGGTAAAAATGCCTTACCTGCTCATTTTGCGTCATCAATAAGGCAACTTTCAGCAGATCTGTACAGGGAGAAAGACAAAGACATTTGTTTTTCTCAAAAACAAAGACACTTTTTTAAATAGTATTGTGGCAGAGAGAAAGCACACTGTTACCTGCTGCCTCTCCATGGCATAAAATCGCCTCCTCGTAATTCTCTTGCGCCACCAACCGGTTTGCCTTTCTGCCGCACAGATGGGCCTGTGGTGGAGGTGACACACTGTTATGATGTGTTACACAACACCACAGTTATGGTACGCTCTTAAAAAAGATGGTTCTTCAAGGGTTCTTTATTAAAGGGAATGGTTCTATTTGCTTATATGCTTAAATAGTTCTTTGCATGGTGAAATTGTTGTTCACATTGATGAAGAATGTGTTTAATATGATTCTATATACCTTTTTGAAAAGGGTTCTATAGAGCACAAAAAGGGGTTCTTCTATTATCACGACTAGACATTGTAATAATGGAAGAACCCTTTTGGTGCTATACAGAACCATTTTCAAAAACAATATACAACATATTCTCCTTCAGTCTGAAGACCCTTTTCACCATGCAAAGAACAATTTAAGCATGAAATGTAGTAACACTTTATTTTGACTGGTCCTTTGTAGATGATTAATAAACTCTTAACAGATTATCAGTAACACATCAACAACATATCAGTGAAGTAGCAGTAGTGAAGCATCTGAATACACTGAAGTAAATGTCTTGTAGATGTTCTGTTGATACATTACTTACATTAAGTAGTATTAATATGTAGTGTTAATATGTTACTTCCATTACACAGAACCTAACCTTACCCAACCTTACCCAAAACCTAACCCTGGCCCTAATCCTAACCCTAACCTTAACCTCAACTCAAAACCTAATCATAACACTCACATGTTTTTGACATGTTACTGAGAGTCATTTGAGTGTTTGTTTCATCTAAAAGGACCGATCAAAATAAAGTGTCACCTGGAATATATATCAGCTCCAGTCCTCGCGCTGCACAGCTTTGTGGTGTTCCTGTCCTGACACAGCTGATGTAGCGCGACTCTGGTAGTAACTGTTACAGGGAAAATGAGAAGCTGTGCGGTGCACGTGGAGCACAGGACTGAAGCTGGCGATCACTGTCCATCAACAATCGCCAATAAGACAGTGTATGATGTTTAACTAAACTGTTTAGCCAACCAGTGTTATTAGTTACGTTTTAACTTCACACAAGTCTCCATGCAGCATGCTGCTCTGATTGGTCTGAAGTTGTCAACAGGACAGTGAAGGACACGTTAATGACCCTTAACTTACGCGGTTTAGAGGACTCTCCATTAGGTCCATTTAAACGACCACAAGCACCGTGAGCGCTCTCACGCTTTATTTCCAATAATCATACGCTTCTGTCGCGCTGACCCGTACCTGAAATCTGACCACCAAAAACACTACAGTGAACTGTTATGACACTGTTTGCACAACCTGTGGATCTCGTCTGTCTACTGCCCGATAAAAAAACCGCTGGTTTGTAGCGCCATCTGCTGGAGCCTTAAATGTATGTCAGATATTAGACACAGCAAGGCTGCTGGAGTTTTTAAACACCTGAAAACAGGCCACCAACCAAAAATATCCAGCCAACAGCGTCCTGTGACCACTGATGAAGAACTAGAGGATGACCAACACAAACTGAACAGCAGCAGATGAGCTATCGTCTCTGACTTTACATCTACAACGTGGACCAACAAGGTGGGACTGTAATAGAGTGGACAGTGAGTGGACACGGTGTTTAAAAACTCCAGCAGCACTGCTGTGTCTGATCCACTCGTACCAGCACAACACACACTAACACACCACCATGTCAGTGTTACTGCAGTACTGAGAATGATCCACCTCACAAATAATACCTGCTCTGTGGTGGTCCTGTGGGGGTCCTGATCACTGAAGAACAAGGTGAAAATGAACTAACAAAGTATGCAGAGAAAGAGAAGAACTACAGTCTGTAATTATAGAACTACAAAGTGCTCCTATGTGTTATGTGGAGCTGATGAAATGGACAATGAGTGTAGAAACAAGGATTTAATGTTATGGCTGATCAGCATAAGTTGAAATTTGAAAATATGCAGGAAAATCCTTCAAAATTCTGCTCAAATACATGGAATTGAGTAAATTTAACTACTGCTTACCAACAAACGCTGGTACATCATTCAGTTGACACTAAATGATGTCAGTCTAAAAGACTTTTTAAAAGAAAGAACTTGTATTTGTCCTAACTTTAAATGCTGTAATGATGTAGTCTATCAAATTATGGGCCTATTGTACTCAATATATGTAAATAACAGTGTCAGTGCTGTTCTTTCTTTCAGGATGGTTTCAGTGTAGAACTATTGTAGAGTGCCTGTTTTAGTTGCTGAATGCAGCAGCATGACTTTCCAGTGTGTTAGTTATACTGCTTTCATAAGCTATATTTCATAAGTATTCCATTGATCAGCTCTATGCATTTTTATAGATTTGGAGGAGCAACACCCAGCACTAAGAGTAACTGCTTTGTCCAAAACTACTATCCAATAATATATCATATACTAAAATATGTGTTGTACGGTATGGAGCAAATTTCATAAAAGCAAAATTATGGAAAATCATAAAAGGGAAGATTAACCATTTGTACCAAGGTTTTGAGAGACCTCAGCATTGACAGAGTATGTAATTAGAGAGTAATGTAACAGTGACCTCTGTTTTTGAAGGTTTCGTCTTTGAAGGTTTTTGTTGTTTTGTTTTATTTTATGAAGGAATAGCTTGTAAATGCCCACACCAACTTTCTCACCAGGAAGTATGGGTAAGACATAAGAGAAAACATCTCAAAGAGGCCAAAACAGATACTGGTGGGATGAGGAAAAAAAGAGTAGTACAAAGAAGGAGTTGCAGGACATTAGAGCAGTAATCTTGATTTTTCCGTGGGCCGGTGTCGATTTTACACTTAATGATCAACACCCCCATGCAATCCATCCTGCTGCTTTATGTCTTTGTTTCTTGGTGATGACATGGGCAATACCCATCACGCTCTGGAGGCTTGGCCATCCATCTTCCTGCACTCTCCACCCACGCACTGTGGACTCAGGGTGACGGGGGCACGCCAGCTTCCAAACCAGAGTTCCACTCGCTCATTAGAATATATCACAGCCTTTTTTCCATGAATTTTACTAGCCTGTTACGTTTAGTCCTTAAATAATATTTTGAGGTGGTAATCTGAGGAGATTTGTACTGAGACACCTCTTTTGGACATTTAATGGACATTTAAGTTGTTATTATTATTAGTAATATGTTTAGATAATATTTATAATATGTATAATATGTATATTATATGTGTACATAATATACATATGAATTATGAATGAAATATCACTGGAATTATGTTCAATTACAACAATTTGGATGTACTCAGAAAAAATGTGGATACAAAGTTTATGCACTGTATATTAGTATTAATATTTCATATATTTGAAACACTGTTGTACATGACTGTGTATTTGCTGCTGTGTCATCTCAGGCTCTAGACTTACAACCAGTCCTGAGCTTTTCAAGAGAAAGATGCTGGCTCCCCAGCAGTGTCAGTTCTTGGCCTTTCTGTTTAAGACTGTGTAAGTTTTCTAACTCTAACATTCAGCACCACAGGGTTAAAAACACAACTCCAGTTTAGGACCTGTGCTCTTACGTTTGCTTTATTGGGGCCACTGTGGAGTCCTGTCACCCAGGGGCCAGCTGTTAGGAAACCACGCCCTCAGCATGGTGCGCATATGTGACCCAAACACCTACGGAGTCCCCCCCAGCAATGAACCTCTTTTTGGCCCACTCTACTGGCTCTCCCAAACCCTATTCATTATCATAACAATTTCAGCTCTGAGGCTGTTTGGAGGTGGGAACAAACTCATTGTCTGATTTTTTTAGTCCTGTGAGTAGGAAACGTACACAGTCCCGGTCTTAAAGGTCTACTGGTGTGTGTGCATGTGGTGTGAGTGTAAGTCGCACGCATGTGTGTTGGAGCAGAAAGGCCTGGACAGTGGAGGAGCTCAAAGCTGAGATTTCTAACTGCAAAAACCAAAGATCCACAGGAGGACTGAAAGAGGCCCTTTAACACAAATGACAACTGTGGTAAGTGTTAAACATTTGGTTTATTGGATTATCAATGAAAGGTTACATGTGTATGGACACCCATTCCTGCCAGGTAGAGGAGAAAAAATGGTTTTTGTTCCTCCCACTCAGCAGCAGTATATCTAAATATTGACTTAGCATCTCAAAATAATGACCTTAATTTTTCAAAATGTTGCAAGTGTCCGGAAATAATTTTTTTCTATTATTTTACTTAGTATCTCAAAATAATGAATATGTTTGTGAAATGTTGACTTAGTGTCTCAAAATTATGACTTATTTCCTTGAAATAATGACTTTTTTTCACAGTTACTTAGTATCACAATTTTTTGAAATATTGACTTCTTGGAACAATTACTTATTTTCTTGAAATATCAACTTAGTATGTCAAAATAATGAGTTACTTTCTCACAATTGTGACTGATTTTGAGTTATTAACACAAAATTTTAACATTCTATGTTGAAATGAGTTGCTAATTTTAAGACGTAAGTAGGCCCAATTATTTCCAGACACTAAGTAAATATTTTGAGAAAACCCTGTCATGGTGGACATACTACTGCCAGAAACAGAGAAGGAGAAAAAACATGCTATGTTATTGACTATTATTTTGGTTTCTAACTAGTTTTGTTAAAGTAGCAGCTGAATTGAAAAGGTAAAAGCTAAACAAAGTGTCTGGCTCTGTAAATTATTTCTCTATGCCATCTTAAAATCCAGGATGTTATAGGTGTGCACATAATACACATAACAATAATCAGTGAAATCAGGAATCGAATTCAATTACACAAATAAAAAAGGTGAATTTAAGCAGTATCACTTTACACATAGTACTCAATGGACCATTTTGCTTCTGTCTGAATGTGGTGGTGTATCAAAAAAAAGGCTGTATTTAATAGAGGTTTGGTGTATTATGAAAGGCCTAATGTAGTTTAGAGAAATCGCTTTGTGACATTTGATTAATCGTCATGTGCAGGGGTCGTCAGGCCCCCATGCGGCACCAAAGCGTACGCAAACAAAACGGTCACTGAACTCACCCCAACATGGCGTGGCGTGGGCGTACAGGGCACAGGGAGGGGCTGCAGAGGCTGTATCAGAAAATCACACAAAATAATATACAAATACTATAATTTCTATAGAATTAAAGGTCATGGACTAAACCTCTACCATGTTGAGATTAAACTAACAGTCTCTTTAGCTTTATTTTTCTTTTGGTCATATCTTCACACATAAACCAAAACATGCTTTAATTGATGTCACTTACATTACCTGTATTATATATTACCTATATTACCAAACTTCTATGACTTCTATAATCTAGCAGGCCTTATCTTTTACATATACTATTAACTTGTGCATATTCCCTTCTAATAGATTAAAATAGAAATCCAAAAAGAAGCTGGTAACACTGACACAATGGGAATACATTTTTGTGCCTGTGGGCGTGAAACAAAGGACAAGGACATTTGGAGTGGGTTTAAAGCACTGCCCCCAACAATGCGATAAGTGCAGGCATGGGTGAATCTGAAATGGTTCCATATCTCAGTTATAAAGCACAAAATAGGGTGCCAAAGGGTTTATTACACTAAACTCCTAGGTTGTAATGGTGGGTGATTGGAAAAAAATAACATTATGATATTTGAAGATGTTTTTATGAAACATGACTATGTATCACAATAGTTTTTCTAAGGTTTGCAAGCTGGAACTGACAAAATCCACCAGCAAAACAACAGTGCCATACAAAAACCACTATGAAAAACTATGAGTACAGTCATTTTTGTTCAGTGTTTGCAAAAATAAACTATTTTAGATGGAGCACAAGAAGAAACAAACAAGTAGTAAAAACAAATGTATAAAGTAAGATTGCATAATAGTATGATGTCCAGTCAGCTCTTAGTTACTAAAGCAACAAGCCACATCTGTGTAAAATCACTGTAATGCATGGCCTCAACTGGCTCATCGCTTTAATAAAGAGTGACAACATAAATAACAATGAAATATGCAATTTTTCATTAAACAATAAGCTAGAATTAATAATAATCACAATAAACTACTCCTCTACCACAAAATATACTTTGTTTAGACTATGGTTACTGTTGCCAGGCAACCATAGACTACTGAAAGAAGACAAGAACATTCAGTCACCCTCTTTTTTGTCATGTAATAAATAAATTAAAAAATATCAGTGTTTAATGAAGATACCTTTGCCTTATAAGTATACTTTTTAATCACAGTATAAAAAAAAATCAGTAAATACCTCAGTTTAAAGCCTAACACTGAATTTTAACAAAGGAGTAGCTTAACCTGTTTTGTCCGCTTTACTAGTTGTTAAGAAAACAAGTTATCAGCCC